CGACGTGAAGCGAGATCCAATCCACACCTCTGACATAGGGTGGGTAGGGTTATTTTTAACGAAGTGGAGCCCCCCCGTAGGGGGGCGGAACATACTGTCTCCATGCATGTACTTCCATGACGTACGACAGATGGAGATGGGAGGAGAGATATAAGGTTTAGAGTTTATCATTTTTTTCGAAAACTATTACTCGCACAGTAAAAATGAATAGAACATAAAATGTATATTTCAAAGAGATCTACAACTTTTGTTTAAAACATTTTTCAAAATTTTTAATATTTGTCTGAAAATTACATATAATTGGTTGACATTGTTTTTTTAATAACTTTTTAATAAACAACGAGCGCCGGCTAAATCCTTCTGAGGGTTACTCAGGAAGGTGACCTCTATAATATATGTCAAGCCCAAGGTTATTGGAGGTGGGTGTCCTAATCTAAATAATTACCCAAAAATCTTTATTTAATCAATGATATATTCTCCATCGTTTTCTGTGATCTTTTTCCAACGTTCTGGCAGCATACGGATGCCCCGATCATAAAAACTGGCCGGTTTAGACTCAAAAAACGAAGAGACCTCGTTTTTTAAAACCTCCAAAGAGTCGAAGTTTTTACCATTTAAATGATTTTGCAATGACCGAAACAAGTGATCGTCGGATGGAGCTACATGGTCCATTATGAAAGTAATGCGCATGATTTTATTGTGACGCGACTATCCATCGCAACGGGGTAAAACCGGTCGGGAAATGTGATGGGGGGTCTGCCCTTCAAATGCAGCCGGTCGCCAGTTTGCTCCGAGCAGTCTGAGTGGAAAAACGTGCCTTCGCGTGAAGCGTGTTTTTCGACTTTGTAACACGGCGCAATGGAGCGTTCACTTGAACAGCGATACGCCATCAAGTTTTGTGTGCGGCTTGGAAAGAATGCAACCGAAACATTCCAGATGCTTCAAGAGGCCTTCAAGGACGATTGCATTTCAAGGTCACCATTCCCGTCGAGGAATTTCAGGGTGCCTTCCAGGCATGGCAGACACGTCTCCGCAAGTGTATTGATGCTGGGGGAGAGTATTTTGAAGAATTTTAATCATTTGTACCGATAGGATCAATAAATCTATTTTTCCCAGAAAATGCGCATTACTTTTATAATGGACCATGTATGTCAGGAGAATACGGCGGATGCGATAAGACATCCCAATTGAGCTTATTCAGTTTGCGGAGCGTTGTTTTCGCAGTGTGTGGCCTGGCGTTGTCATGGTGGAAGACAACTCCTTTGCGATTTGCCAAAATCGCACGTTTTTCTCTGATTGCTCGGTTCAAATTTGTTAGTTGGCGACAATACTTATCCGCATTAATCGTTTCACCAGCGGGGAGCAGCTCATAATAGATTATGCCTTTGCAATCCCACCATACAGAGAGCATTACCTTCTTTGGGTGCAAACCGGCCTTCGCCATGGCATCGCCATGCTCACCTGCCTGTTTCCACGTCCGTTTGCGTGTGACATTGTTGTAGAGGACTCATTTTTCATCACCCGTCACCAATCGATCCAAAAACGGGTCATTATTCAGACGCCCAAGCAAAGAAACGGCTGCAGAAATTCGCTTGATTTTGTTCTTCTCGGTCAACAAATGAGGCACCCATATATCGAGCTTCAATTTGAATCCCATTTGTTTTAAACGCCGAAAAGCGGTTGTTTTGTCAATGTTAAGTGCCCTCCCAACCTCTTCTGTTGAAATCCGCGGATTAATGTCCACTAATGTACGCAGAACATCGTCATCAACGTCTGAGGGTCGACCGGAGCGTGGCTCGTCTTCGAGATTAAAATCTACGCGCCGAAATTTACCAAACCACTTTTTCACAGTGCGGATAGCTGGGGCGTGATCCTGATAAACGTCTTGAATGTTTTTGAAGGCAGCGCCAACTTTCATTCCCTTCCGAAACTCGTAAAGCATAACATGCCGTAAATGTACCTTATCGATACTCATTTTTAAAGCGATATTCCTCGAAACAGCTTTAATGTAAGCAAATGATTTCTCTTTTAAATGACAGCTGAAAACGTCACCTTTCCAACGATAAATAATACGTATATGAAAGTATTAATGGCAACACTGTACTACGCTTACAACTCCCTCTATTGAAAACGGGCACAAACTTATGCAATCACCCAATATATAATGCGCGCACACTAGAGAGAGAAAGAGAAAGAGAGCGCACACCACATACACACACACATACGCATACCAATGTACATGCAAAAGTATATAACGCGCGCACGCTAGAGAGAAAGAGAGAGAGGCGTACACCACACGCACGCACGCACGCGCGCACGCACGCGCGCACGCACATACAAACAAACAAACAAACAAACACACACAACACGCGCGCGCGTGCGCAACCACGACGCACGTACACATACACACACACTTGGATTCATACTTGTAAAGGAGTGGGGCGAAGGAGTAGTGGAAGGAGAGAGGGGGCAATTACAATTCGGTTGAGCAGCGCCAAGTTTTTCTAA